TTTCCTCTCTTTTCCTTTCCTTCTTTTCTTTTGCCTTGGTTTTTCTTGTTCCTGTTCTCTCCTTTCCTCAAAATTGTTTTTCCGCTCATTTCTTTCTTTTCTCTTACTCTCTTTTTATTTTCTCTTATTTGCCTTTGTTTGGTTTCTTATTTTCTTTTTGTTTTTCTTTCCCTCTTTTGTTTTTCTTTCCTTTCTTGTTTTTCACCTCTTTCCTTTCATTCCTTTCTTGTTTCTCCCCTTTTCATTTAGTTACGGTCGAATCCTATGGAGATTGCCTACGTATCACGACCCCACGTGAATCAGACCGAGCGTAGTTCTTGCAAATAAATGCGAAAATAAGGAAACAATTTTTGGGGAATTTTTCTCAATTTTTCATTAATAACAACTGCGATTACAAAAGCTACCAGACTATTTGTTTTTCTTTTTCTCAAAAAGGGAAGTTACAAAAACAGACTCAAAAACAAAAATACAGACTCGATTAACTAGGAATACATCAAAGCTTCAAACCCTGGGGCCCGCGGGGCATCACTCGGCATCGCCACGGGCCTACGCAAGACTGAGAAGGTTTCAATGTCAACTGGGTCATCCTGGACAAGGAGTTCTAAGGAAAAGTGTGACTATTTACAGAAAGTTGACTTATTGTGACTTAAAAGAAAAGTGGCTATTTTTTCAAAAATTTTATTTAAGAAAGCAAAGACTTGGTTTTGCAAATACGGCCTCTAAGCACTTCCGGGAGGGAGATTTTAAGGTTGTGCCCGCAAACCATTTAAAAATGACTAAGGGTGGCTGTTCTTGCAAAAATAGCCTTCCGGCACCCTTTTGGGGACATTCGGCTTATTTTAAAAAAGAATGGCGGCACCCGACTTATTTTGACAAAAAGTTAAAGTCTTGGTATTTTTGGCTATTTTTGAAAAAGGGTGGTTGGACCCGATGAGGGTTGCCTACGTATCTCACATCCGGTGAGAATCAAATCGGCGTAGTTCGGGCAAAACAATCTCTTTTTCAAACATTTTCCTTTTCATTTTTCAAAAAAAAATCCGGCAATATTTCGGTACTATTTGGGCATCGGTTTTTTCCAAACAAGTGGTTACCCTCACTTAGCCCTAACAATGCTATTTTTCTCAATTTTCTCTCATTTAGACAAGCCGGTCAACATGCAAAGTCGAGCAAATAAATGTGCAAGTAGCACGTAAGATGCATCAGGATGGTCAACTTATTTCAGGTCACCTGTCCTAGACGGACCCAACCCCTGTGTTGAGTCCCCTAAGTCAAATGCACATGATGCAAACAAGCGTCCTACTAGGGATCCGGCATGAGTTTTTGTTCTTCTAGGTTTATTGGTCTAGACCTGGCTTACCCGAGCGGACAACTCGGGCCGAGGGGGAGGCAACGTACCGGGGATACAGAAGCTCCGCCGGCTTAGCAACTTATCCAAACCTCGTTCTAAATGGGAAAAGACTCTAAACAGAAGAGAATCTACACGAAGTGCACCCTTCTCCATTATGTAGAAGACTCAGAGAGAGGAAGGGATTGGCAACAGTTTATATATACAATTCAATCAAATATCAAAGCGGTAAAACAATTAGCACACAAGGCATGAAACATGTAGGAAAATCAGATAAAGCCAAATATAACAATCTAACTGAGCTCGAATTCTTGAGCCCTGAACCGAAATTCTGGGTTCTTGTTCCCCAGCAGAGTCGCCAGAGCTGTCACACCTCCTTTTTCTACTACACCCCCGGAAGGGGTATAATAAAGGGAGTTTTTCCAATTAAAGGACAATCGAAACGGGATTGTTTATTAAGAGATTCAGAGTCGCCACTTGGGAGATTTATGGTGTCCCAAGTCACCAGTTTAAATCCCGAATCGAGGAAAAGGTTGACTTTGTATTACAGTCCGCGAATCAGAAATTCGGGTAAGGAATTCTGTTAACCCGGGAGAAGGTGTTAGGCATTCCCGAGTTCCGTGGTTCTAGCACGGTCGCTCAACTGTTACATTCGTCTTAATTATCTGATTTTAATACAGTTTGAACCTATGTCCAATTTTAAATTGTTTACCTCTTTTAATTAATTTTAAAGAAGATTGAACGTCGTCTAAAACATGTCTTTGGATCGCGTCACATGAAATGCACCCGCAATCCGAAACACATTTTATTCAACGTTTTAGGATTTGAATTTGGGTCACATGAAATGCACACCCGAGTTTAAGGAAGTTAATTCAAAATTACGCGTCTAAAGCAATTACGCGTTTTCAAGTTTGCGAGGGCCATGGAAAGTTCGCTAATGGTCTAAAGGATTAAAATTAATTAAGTGAGGGCCATGAGTTTTGAGATTTTATTTGGCATGGCGTACCTCAAAACTATTCAACTAAATGAACTATGGATATTCAAATTTAAGGCTAATTTGAAATTAAGTTTCACAACTACGTCAGGGGAACCAAACCCGTAGCTATGAAAACTATTTAATTAAACGTGCCTAGAACATTTCTACTGATATTCAGCTTCTTATATCATATCAAAGATTGCAAAGCAGATCAAATGTTACGAAAGGCATTGAAATTTTTCTCTATATCAACATGGCGGGGTGCAGAAATAGCCGATTTTAAGACATCTATTTAAAGGATAACCGCTTTTTACAAAAGAATTTAAAGTTAAGGCATATGCTTATTCTGATTCCACACACGAAAATTGATTCACAGAAACAACCAAACTACTCCTATCAAACTTTGCATTTCTAATTCAGCACATCTACTTTGCTTAATCACATTTCATCATTCTTAAACTCTCATTAAACAAACACGTTACTAATGACATACATTATTCTAAAACAAACATGCAAATGAAGCAGTTGTGCACTTCAGTAGGCATTTCTAAAAAATAAGTAGATATTAACGTGAGGATTCAAATCATCTCAAGTTTTTCAAAACACATATACACAAATACTCATTAATAACATTGCTTCGTTCAACATGCATTATAAAATTCAGAAGTTATATATCAGTCAAGGGTGAGGCAAAAATGAACCTTTACATGAATGAATCTGAAACTCGACACTGACCTCGACCGGAAAATCTACTGACCCTCGACGGAATTACGATCTAAACCTCGAAACTTGCCGGAAAAAGCTCGTCAGAAAGTTTGACTCAAACCTAACCAAAATACCGTTGTTTTGTGTGAGAAAGGGGGCTGTTTTCGAGTGTTCCTAGCTGGGTTTCTCCGTCAAAAATGAAGTTTCTGGAGCTGAATTTTAATGGAAGCTTCAGCTGGTTTTGGCGCAAGTTTTAGGACTGTTTTGGAGCGTATTTAGTGGCTATTTTTCAGTAGTGTTTCGGCTGTATTTGCTGTGTTTATGTGAAGAATGGAGAGGCTAGCGGCTGTGTTGGGCTGCTATGGAAAGGTTGCTGCGAAGGAGACGAGTTCAGGGGTGGTCGGCAATGGGGTGGCTTGGAGTGACGGATCGCTGGTGTGACATGGAGGTTTCCGGCGGACTGTGGTAGCTGGTTTAACGTAGGAGATCAGATTGCTGTTTTGGAGTTATACGGATGATTGGGTTTTCACATTTCTTAGGTCTCTTTCAGCTGATATCTTAGGCTCTATGTTTCTGTGCATTTTTCTTCCTTTTGTGCTGCGGCGGCTGATTGTGTTTTTTTTTTTAGAGTGTTTGTGGTGTTAATTTATAGGAGTAGGAATTAGGTTAGGTCAAATGGGGAGAATGGGTATGGGCTCAATGTTTGGGCTATCCCAAATTGGGCATTTTCAATTAAGACCAAACAAAATTAGCCCCAAATTCAATACTCTTTCTTCTAACACAAGACCAAAAATACTACACCAATTATTAATTAATCATATTTGAGTAAATAACTATAAAAATAAAATTGACCGTTAAAATGAACTATTTTTGGTATTTTTCAAGATTTTATGACTACAAAACATTAATGCAACTATTCTTTTTTTTTTTAATTTTCATTTTCTTGTAATAAAATAAAGTAAAAGAGTCAAAATTAACTAAAATAGCTATATTAGGCCTAAATTAAATATTTACGTGTTAAAATATAAAAAGTCTTGGGGAGGGTCAAAAATCACATGTCTACAATATTCACCACCCCTGTCAGACCTAAGTCTCTTGATTTTTTGTCTAATTGATTCTCTACTTCTGCCTTGTATTTTAAAAACATGCTTTCAGCCTCATCTTTTGACTTAAGAAGATATACCTTAGTGTATCTAGAAAAGTCATCTACAAAGGTGATGTAGTATTTCTTTCCACCTTTACTAATAGTGTTCTTGAAATCTGCTAAGTCTGAATGTACTAGTTCAAGCAATTCTATTTTACTACTAGTTACATTCTTAAAAGGCTTTTTGGTATGTTTTGCTTCTACACAAATAGGACACTTAGAAAAATAATCAACATTAACTGCAGGAATTAATTCCATTTTCTAAGTCTTTTAATAGAAGCAATATTAACATGACCTAGTATACCATGCCACAAATCAATAGGCTCAGCAATATAAGCAGAATTGAAAGTACTAGCATTATTAGTAATCTCTTGAGCAATGTTCAGTATAAATAAACTCCCACTAAGGTAAACCTTCCCAACAAAGTCTCTCCCACGAGAAATAACAACTTAATCATATTCAAAAACAAGTTTAAGGCCTACCTTGTTGAGAAGCGCACCAGAAACTAAGTTTCTACGAAGGGAGGGTACATACAGAATATTGTTCAAAGCTAAAGTTTTTCCAGAAGTTAATTTAAGAAGAGTTTTTCCTTTACCCATAACTCCAGCTGTAGTGGAATTACCCATGTAGACACACTCGCCCTCAGCAGATTCCTCAAAGTCGTGAAACAGCTCTTTGTTGGCGCAAAGATGCCTTGAAGCGCCTGTGCCCAGTATCCAGTCAGTCTTGTTAGCCACCATGTTTGCCTCAACAACCACTGCAGCAATGACATCACCACCCTCAGTAAGGTTGGCTTGGACTGGAGCTTTTCCTCCATTCTTTGAGCTTTGTCATTGTCTCTGGTTGCACTGAAAAGCCTTGTGACCAATTTTGCCGCAGACATAGCAAGGTCCTTTCGACTTTTGAATATGGCCCTCCGGCTTATTGAAGTAATTCTGCTTCTTCACATGTCCTTTCTTCTCGCCTTTCTTCTGTTTCCCTTTAAACTTGTCTTTCACAAAAGTACTAGAGGATTCCACAAGGTTAGCTTTAGAAGAATTAAGAGAAAGAGAGATTTCATCTTATCCTTAAGCCGTTCAGACTCCTCATCTTTGAGACGGTTTGCTTCCTCAGTCCTCACGTGACTGATTAGTTCTTGAAGAGTTAAGTTTTTCTTCTTGTGTTTTAGTTGATTCCTGTAATCACTCCAGGAAGGTGAAAAATTTTCAAGCAAAACACTAGCCTAAAGAATCTCACACATCTCCATGCCCTCGTTCAAAACATCAGCAGTTAAGTTCTCATACTCGTGAACCTGTTCCATGATTGGCTTATCATTAACCATCTGAAACTTGATCCACTTTCCAACGACATACTTCTTTTTTCCCGCGTCATCAGCACCATATTTCTTCTCCAAACTGTCCCATATGACTTTTGCAGATTTATAATTTATAAACAAATCAAAGAGAGGGTTAGTCATATGGTTAAGCAGATGCCCTCTTACTGTTTTATTATCCTTTTTAAATTTTTTCTTAGCAGCATCATCAGCAACAACAATATTAGCAACATTAGAATTATTAGCAACAATATCAGCAGGAGGATCATTAAACAAAACATAATCAACTTCTAATTGTTCAAAGAAAATTAAAAGTTTCTAGGACCAACGCTTATAATTATTTCCATCTAAAGGTTCAAGCTTTGAGAGATCAGGAAGTGTTTTGTTCAAAGTGGTGGCCATTAGTCAATATTATATGTGAGATCGCTTTCAAATTGTAAGGAAAATGAGTAGATAATATTGACTAAGAACAAGAAGGAAAGAAGAACAACTTATCAAAAATACTGTGTCGTGGCAAGCCACTGCCTTGAAAGCGATTTCGGCCCGACTAGGTGCGAATCGTTAAGACCGGTCGCTCCCCAAGGTTCCACAGCACCTCCAAACACGTGCACTCATGGCTGGAAGTTTAGAATTTGCACAAAACAGTTGCCCAAAAAGAAGATAAGATGAAGGTATTTTATGTGTTGGATAATTCACAAAGAAGACTAGGAAGAAAGTAATGGTTTTAGCTAGATGAATTCTTGGTTAAGAATTGAGTGAATATGATGGCTAATGATCATCTTATTTATAGGCAATTAGGGAGGTTTTTTTTTTATGGTAATTAGGAATTTTCATTAATCACCAATGAAACATTACAAGACTACAGTTGGCTTACATACTCAGCCTACTGTCTTTGAGTTGTATCTCTATCCCCTATACATGTACCTTCTATACTCATTTCCTCTCTACTTATATTTACATCAAAACTGAAAATTCTGTATAAGCTGCCTATTTTGATTTGTTGCTCTAACATTACATATGCATGCTATGTTCCTAGCTAAGTCTTCAGCCTTCTTGCTTTGCTTTTCAAATATCCTGAGATTTCTCTCATTCCATATCTCATGAAGTGCTTCTGCATATATCATTCTGAATATTCCCGCTTCCCTTGATTTTCCTCTTGCATTCTTAGTTGCCCAGTGCCAGTGCTGATCCCAGGATGTTGCCCACAGTTGTTGCCTCTGCATCCACTTTAGTAGCTTTGTCCAGACATTCATGGTATACTCACATTCAATAAAGAGGTGATTTCTGCTTTCATCTTGTTTTTGACATAGGCTGCATACCTTGTCCACCTGTATCCCCCATTTACTCAATCGGTCACTAGTTAGCATCCTATCATGGAAGTATAGCCACATAGTGAATTTAGCTTTTGCCCTTGCTTCATTTCCATACATGAACATCTTCCATTCTACCCTTGGTAATTGTCCCATCATAGCCAAATATAACTGTCTGATCATGCTGCTATTCTGCTTTTGCTGGATGTGAATTGTTGTTACTGATCTTCTTGCCTCTATTATTTTTCTAACTAGCCAGGATGCCTGTTGTGGTATTGGCATGTTTGATATCTGTTGCCCTTTTATATAGTATGCATGAATCCATTTGATCCACATCTTGTCCTCTTTATTTGCTAGATCCCAGTAATTCTTTGCTGCTGCTGCTTTGTTCCATAGCTTCAGATTGATTAGGTTCAGTCCCCCAACACTTTTAGGAGTGCACATTTTTTCACATGCCACCAAAGATCTTCTTGTGATAGTATTAACTCCTGACCATATATAGCTTCTGCAGTATGCCTCAATAGTCTTCAGTACCTTGCTAGGTATTAGAAACAATTGGGACCAATAAGCCTGAATACCAAATAGCACAGATTGTACTAGTTGAATTCTTCCAGCATATGAGAGTTTTTTTGCAGTCCATGAAGAGATGCTTGCCACCATCTTTTCAATAAGTGGCTGCCATTGAGCTATGGACATCTTCTTGATGGTTAGGGGTACTCCAAGGTATTTGACTGGCAGTGTACCTTTAGAGTAACCAAATTTCTGGACTATCTCATCTCTTACCACCTGTGTAACTCCTCCAAAGAAAATTGAACTCTTTTCATGATTAGCCTTTAATCCTGAAGCTGCATAGAAATGATTAAGGCAGTGTTGTAGTTGAGTTATAGAGGTCATGTCACCCCTTGCAAACAATAGCAAGTCATCTGCAAAACTCAGATGAGTTATGCCATGCTTAGCACACCTTGGGTGATATTTGAAATCCTTTTCTTTCCTCAGATCATTCAAGCTTCTACTCAGGTACTCCATAGCAATTGCAAAGAGGAAAGGAGACATGGGGTCTCCCTGTCTCAATCCCTTTGCAGCTGGAAATGGTTCAGCAGGCTCTCCATTGATGATAATTGAGTAAGAAACAGTCTTCATACATGTAAGCACCCATTGGAGGAATTTAATAGGAAATCCCAACTCAGTCATTACCTGTTCCAAGAATACCCATTCAACAGAGTCATAAGCTTTGGTTAGATCAATTTTGATCATACACCTTGGGGAAGAATTCCTTCTGGTGTATGCCTTAACAAGTTCATGAGATAGAACAATGTTAGGGAGGTTGCATGTATGACAAGTGTAGAGAGTCTTTTAACACTTGTCCAAATATATAGTCCACTTGTCTTCAATATTAACAAGTGTACCAATCTTCCATGCATGAAGACACATGGTAGATTTGCATAGCCACTTGCCAAAGTCATTCAACACTTGGGTTTAAGGCTTCATGCAAGAAGCCACTTAGAAATAGATAGGACATTTGAAACATAAATAAAACACTCATGGCTATTGGTTGTAAATGGAATTTCAAAAAAAAAAATTTGACTTTGCATTATGAATAATTCCAACATATATAACTAAAAAGAATATTAAAAGTTTCATTGAATAACTTTCTGTATTGGATGTCCACGAAGAGAACTTCAGAAGAAACCGAAATAGAGAAATTTTGGAGATATCCAGATTGAATATTTACATTTATAAAGTTCTTAAATTTAGCAAATATATATGTAGCAATGATGCATATTATTTTAATTTTAGTTGAATGGTGCACCTTTGAAAAGTTGATAATTCTTTGAGGAATTATGTGTGAAAAAGTTGGGTGTTGGGAGTTGATAATTCTTTGAGGAATTATGTGGGAAAAAGTTGGGTGTTGATATAAGTAACGCAGTTGTATTAACAAGTTATGAAAGTTTTCTGAGCTTACAACTTTATTTGGTAGAATTCAGATTCACACTTTCTTCCATGAATCTAATAAAATTAATTAAAAGGATACCTTTTGCTCGGAAAATTTTCTCATATTCAGCTTTTATAGCAATCTAATATATGCATGACACATTTCTTGTATAAATAATCGGAACAAAACTAATGTAGGTTGGTGTAAATACTATGGGTGTTTAACGGGCGGGCTAGGACGGGATGTACACTAAAAAAACCAGCCCGTCCGTTTAACGTTTCGGGCTAGTTAGCGAGTTGAATTAGCGGGCTGTTAGCGGGTTGTGTTTTTTCGGGTTTTTTGGGTCCGTCCGGGTTCGGGCTTAAAGGGTCCGGACCGGGCCGGGCTAATTATTATTTTTTTAAAGTAAATTTTATTTTTCTTATTCAATGTTATTGATACTTAAGTGTTTGCTAACTTTTAAGGCTTAGAATTAAACTTTGAAGTTTAAAGTTTGAAATTTGAAATTTGAAATTTGAAAGTAAGTGGTTGCAAAAATTATTTAATAAGACCAATAGGCAATATGTAAGGATCAAGCTCCGAAGGCTTTCATTTAATGCATTTAATCTAGCACTTCTATTATTTCCTTGAATTACACCAACAGCTCTTCTAACTAAAGTGATCTCTTCTTTAAATAATTCAAGGCCACTCTTCACAATTAAATTATAAATATGACATGCACATCTAACATGAAATATTTCAGGAAGTGGTGGGTGTAGATGAAATTTTAATATTGTAATAGCAGCATTGTTGTTAGAAGCATTATCAAATGACATACACAAAAAATTTTCTGCAAGATTATAAAATATAGCAACTTCATGGATAGTATTACTTATAAATGCACCAATATGACTTTGATCTTCATCATATTTAAAAGCAATAAGACATTTTTGCTTACAAAAATTATCATCTATCCAATGGCATGTAACAGTCAAATAATCATTTCCATTTACAGTACGACCAATATTAGAAGTAAGAGAAACTCTACGAGAAAGACCGGCGAACAAATAACGTATATATGTCTGATATTGTCGAAAAAGCCTAAAGGTGTCAGCTCTACAAGTACTCTAGGAATACCTTTAAATAAAGGATTATAAATTCTTTGAATATAAGTAACAAGATATGGTGAAGCAGCAAAACTAAAAGGTAAACAACCTAAAACAATCATTTTAGCTAATTCTTCCCGATCTTTCTTAATATCGTATTTACCCATTAACCCCCAGGACCTGCATTAAGCTTTTGTTGCCCATCTTGCTCATCTACTCCCCAATCAATAGGGTGGTGCTCTACCATGTGCCTACGAAGTTGACCCGTTCCCCCTCCCTTACCGGTCTCGTGTTTAAAAACATCCTTATAAATTTTACATCTTACATAACTTTTATCTTCTTCTAGTCTTTCAAAAAAATTCCAATACTTACTTCTTAATCTTCAATTCCTCTTAATAGGGAGGAGAGGCCTACTTGTATTACCACGACCTCCACCCCTAATATTATAAGTTTGACTAGCATTACCAGGTGTAGCTGATGGTATTTCAAGATTATCAGGTGATTTAATATCGTCTAAATCATCATCTATACCATAATTTTCTTGAAATCGCTCATAATCTACATTTAAATTTTCAGGTGAACTTTCTGAAATATGTGTAAAGCTACTAGAAGAACCAACACTACCTCTTGATTTTTTAGAAGTTTTACTCTTACTACTATCACCCCTACTAGTGCACGCTTTTTTGGCTGCTCTTAATAAATCTATTAAGTAAATTAAATTAATAATTTTAAATAATAAAATAAATATATACACCAAAGAAGAGAAAGAGATGAAACGAGTGTACCGGAATTCCGGATGCCGCACTAAATTTGATATTAAAAATCAAAATCAAACTTCAATTGATAGACCGGTACTTAATAGTTGATGACTTGATACCACACTTCACTTGAATACTTGATATTTAATACTAATAATTTTGTAATGGCTAAATTAAATATTTGATGAAACTTGAAATAATAAGTAATTGAGAATTTAAGAACAATAATCAATATTATAAAGAGAGAATTGAGAGAGAATTAGAGTAGTAAGAGAGTGAGTTGTGAGACAAAAAATGAAGAAGAGGGGCTATTTATAGTTTTTAAAAGGTTAAAATTATATTTTTTATCAAATATTAAGGGGGGGGGNCATTGGAGATTTTTGTGCTAATTATAGACTAATACCTATCCTGGATTCTTTGTTTTAGTTGCTGAATTCTATTTCTTCTGATAAGTTGAGTTAGTTTTGGTATCAAGGAGACGTGATTCTCATTAAATTCCCCTCCCCGCCCCAGCCCGCCCCCAAACGCTACAGTACCGGGCTGACCCGAGCCGAACCGGATTGTGAACGGGCCATCCCGGCCCGATTAACAGGTATAGTAAATACTAACCCGTATGGACATAAGAATTTTTTTTACTTTTTTTCAAAATCAGTGTTTGCTCATAAAGTTTCCAATTTTCACTTGAAGATGAATTTTGGAATTTTTCAAAAATTTAAAAAACTCCAAATAGTTGTTTTTCAAAATTTTCACTTAGATCAGGCACCCAAAAATTCAAAAATAACCCGAAATTATATTCATGTCCAAATACAATTCTAATTTTCAAATACTATTTTTATTTGAAAAAAAAATTACTTTTTTTTTTTTTTAAATTTGCAATTCTTATGTCCAAACGCACACCTAGACGTGTATAAAAATTTTCCCTTCCCACTTTAGGGTGGGTAGGTGAACAAAGAGCTTTCATAAAGCATCATAGTAGTTAATTAATATACCCTCAGAAAAGAAATAGATAGAGGTTCTTTTCAATGTTTTTTTTTTCTTTAGTTTTTTTATTTTATTTTCCATTCAGTGTTCGGTACTTGCGTTGGAGCCCGGCTATATCCATATTCACACTCGTGCCGCGTAGGACCCCATTCGGGAGGGAGCGCTCCCTAGCAAAGATTTTTCCATATTTAGAGCTCGAATCCGAGACCTCTAATTAAGGGAAGAGCAGCCCCATCCGCTGTACCACATCCTTTAACGGTGAGGTTCTTTTTAATATGATCACAGTCTTCCCAACGAAGCTAGCCAAATCAAATGCATGCGAAATTGCTAATGCTAGAGAATTCTCTCAAAAAAAGTTGAATATAACAAAAGCATCTCAGAATATTGCCATATCCGACTGTCCAAATCAAATCTTTTTTGGAGAAATAGCGAGCACATGGATGAGTTCAGAAATAAGTTTCTGTTTCTATCTTCTTCTAAACTGTCTAAAATTTCATAAATAAATTCATTCAAAATAAACCAAGGAACAAACAACTGCACTAACAAAATCTATAATAATCCTTAAGGTTGAAATTGAACCCAATAAATATGTATTTTCCTATGCAAAACAGAGAAGAAAAACACTTCAATTTAACATCATCATCCCAACAAAACATTACATAAACTCCCTTTTCATCTATCTTTCAAAATATTAATACTAATATAGATCTTTAGGTTACACTAATTTGTGCCCATTGTCTCCCTTTGCCATTTCAACAGCTCCACCATTTGAACTTCCTTTCCCAACTCCAGGATAATCAACTTCAGTCATAAACCTAGACCAAAACCAATGTTCTTTCCACACAATAACCATCTCTTCAATAGGTACATTCTTCGTCTCGGGCAAGAAAAAGTAGATAAAAATGGTCATCACGAACACGAAGAATGCAAAGAAGATGAACAACCCGAACTTCAAATGACACAACAGTGTCAGGAACACTTGCGCGACGATAAATGTGAAGATCATATTGACTGAAACATTGATACTTTGAGCTGCAGAACGAATTTCAAGTGGGAAAATTTCACTTGGAACTAACCAACCAAGAGGTCCCCATGACCAAGCAAATCCTGCTACATAAGCACAGATGAATATTACCACAACTATAGCATACCACTTTGGTAAATTTCCTGCATTCCCATCTGTTCCAAACTTCAAACCTATGCAAATTGCTACAGCAATCTACACACCAAACAAAGTTCATGTTAGTAAAAATATACGAAGAGGAGTTTTGGCGCGACACTAAAGTTCATCCCATGTGATCAAAAGGCCAGGCCGTGAAAACAGCCAGTAAAGGAGCCAAGAATTTTACTAAGTGATGTCAAAATGTAAAATAAAATAAAATTATACAAAGAAAATAAAGGGAGTCAATATATAATATATATACATCAAAATTAATTTTTAACCTAGCTAAACAATATAATTTTCCGGCAAATGGGTGTCAGAGGCGGACCTAGGATTTCGGGGGCACCACTATTTTGCTCAACAAATACTCCCTAAAAGCTTTTAGTTTTCACGGTGCCAAGTTATCTATACAATCAATTTCAAAGTATACACACACACACACACACACACATATATATATATACACACACACGAGATTTCTACCGAAGTTTACGGGGTCCGGTGGCCCCTCAACACTATACATAGGTCCGCCTCGGAAGGTGTTAATCGATACCCTTTCGTATAAGGTGGTTTCACCACTGGAAACAGCTTCTTGCAGATTTGCATGAAAGGTTGTATACAACGTACCAAATGACGTTCAAACCTATCCTAAACTTCGCGCATAGCGGTAGTTCCGTACAATAGACTGCCACTTTTTTATGAAAATAAACAAAGAAAGTGAGGAATTGACTTACTTGACAAATGAGCATTTGAAAGCCACCTTCAAGGAACAAGAATCTTCTGCCCAACTTATCAACATAGTAAATAGAAACAATGGTTGCAACAACATTGACCAGACCAGTAATAACAGCAGACATTAAAGAAGCATCAGCACCAAAACCAATAGTCTTGAACAAGACAGGTGCATAAAACATGATCACATTAATTCCAGTAAGTTGCTGGAAAAATGGGATAACAATAGCCATAGTTAAATGTGGCCTATATTTCCTTTGCAATAAATTTCTCCAAGGATGTTCAACTTTCCTAGACGCTTCACTAGCCGCGACTAAATCATTAAGCTCTTCGTCCACATCATCGACGCCCCTTATTCTCCTGAGCTTCGTCTTGGCTTCCTCGTTGTTGCCACGTTCGATCATGGAATTTGGAGTTTCGGGGAGGAGAAGTGAACCGACGCTGATGATCAATGCAGGAACCATAGCACCACCTAAGCTTAAACGCCAACCCCATGAGATCTTAGCAAAGAAATAGTTCAATATATTGGCTACAAGAATACCAATTGTGATTGACAATTGAAAGCCAATGTTGAGAGCTCCTCTATACTTGTATGGAGCCATTTCAGATAGGTATAAGGGAACAGACTGCAGTCAAAATTACCAAGAACATATTAATCAAACAAATGGAAGAAAACAAGAACCAATTCTAAGTAAAATTCAAAGAGAAAAACACCAAACAGAATGAGCAAAATGGGAAATTTGTGTTTGTTTCAAGAACAACAACAACAAAACGCAGTCTAATCTCAATAGTGGGGTCTGGGGAGGGTAGCATGTATGCAGACCTTACCCCCACCTAAAAGGTGGAGAGGTTGTTTCCGATAGACCATCGGCTCACGATGTTTGTTTCCAGAGGATCACATATTCTATGTCAACATTAATGAGACAAAAAAAGGGTACATTATTCTTGATTATATACTAAATCCTATTACTTGGTGCTCTATATCCAATTAAGGTTACTACATTTTAGCCAAAACAGTGAGTGTTACATCTTGCGGAAGTATCAAATATCAGATTTCATATACAAAATTTAAAGAAAAAAAAAACATAGTAGTAAAAAAAAGTTGTTTTACTTTTCAAGAAGGGCAAATGTGTAAATTGTAAAAGTTGTGGGGGTCATTATATTGAATTTTAAAACACCATCTTTTCAATTCAAGTGAACTTTTCTGAGTCAAGAAATGACAACACAAAATAGATTAAAAATATAAAATTAAAATACAAAAGTAGAAAGAGATGCAGAGTACTCTTTTATGATGAAATTTGCCTTTATGAACATACTTCTACTGCTCATTAAGTCAGTCTACTTACTGAAATTCAGACCTGAACTATAATAAAGTGTTGACCAGTAACTTGTATTTTTCAAATTCAAGGCATAAATTTTTATTTTATTTTTATTTTGTAAAGCAACTTATTCCATGGCAAAGCTTAAAAAAGGAGGAAAAGGTCCAAAACAAAGAAAAATTAAAAAGAAATGAAAAATCACCCAAAACATCTAACAAGACACAAAACACCAACCCGTCCTCAAATAGAGTTACTTGATACCTATATTGATCAGACATAATATATGCTACTAGTATATGAGTCAAAATAGCACAAATTAGTCTGTACACCACTTCTATAAAGAAAAATAAACCAAGTAACACGCCAACTATATGTAGTCATAAATACTGAACTCATCAACTTTAAATCCAGAATCGACCTCATCCACCCTTACCAAGAAAAAGAAACATTAAAAGTAAAAGGCAATTCGATGTTCGGGGAAGGACCGGACCACAAGAGTCTATTGTACACAATTTTATCCTGCATTTTTATAAGAGGCTGTTTCCACGGCTCGAATCCGTGACCTCCTGGTCACGTGGAAGTAACTTTACCAGTTACGCCAAGACTCCTCTTCAAACATTAAAAGTTAATGGGAAAAGAAAATGTAACCTGATTGGCGAAACCAATACCAAAACCAAGCAAAATACGGCCAACAATGAGCATAGAGACACCACGAGCAAAGCCATTGATCAAAGCCCCTGCACAAAATAAGACACCACCAAACAGCATAGAGAGTCTTCTTCCTAATTTTCTGGTGACAGTAGATGCAACCAGAGATGAAACAAGTGCAGCCAAATACAATGATGATGTGAACATTGTCAATATTTGGCTGTCAAATTTGCAGTATTGATTAGTTGATGTGTCTTCCCTTTGCTTTGTGTATACAGATGGGAAGAACCTATGCAAGAATGAGTCCATTGATGTCACACCCCCTGTTCCAAAACATAAACATAATTAAAAATAATTAAAAAACAAGAAACAAGTTCATCTTTTTTTTTTTTTCATGTAACACATGATTTAACAAAAGAGGGCCGGGAGAGGGGGGAGGGGCAACCCGATACACAACGTATCCCGCGTTCACGCAGGGTCCGAATAAGGGTCACACCGAAAAGGGTGTTATGTATGCAGCCTATCCTGATACAAGCATCAGTAGCTTGGCTAATTCAACGGCTCGAATCAGTGAGTTCAACTAAACTCATTGGAAGACAGAGGCGGACCCAGGATTTTAACATAACAGGAGCACCAATATTCTGTTCAACCAGTATCCTCCGAAGGCTTTTTGTATTCAGGTTATCAAGTTATTTAAATTAACCATTTTCAAGGTTTACATACACAAGATTTCTGCTAAAATTTATAGGGTCCGGTGACCCCCCAATGTTATACATAGGTCCGTCTCTGGTGGAAAATGTAGCATATAATCAACAGATTCAACTAAACTCATATTTTTTTAGACGGAATATAGATATATGTGCGTAAAAAACACTAAAATTACACAAAAATAAACAACATCTTGAAAAAGTGTAGTGCATTCAATGGTACGAATTCATCAAGTTTACGTCTTGGATCTGTCTCTGCCTAGGAGTCATTGTTTTCTTTCCAAACTATATATGTATGTACTCAAAAAATTAAAATGGATATATATTTTAAGCCCATCAACTCTAGATTTTGAATACGCGTCGACGTACACATATATACATATATACAAACACAAACGCACCAGAAATTCCGATATCATAACCAAAAATCAGACCACCCATAGCAGCAACAATACAAGTAACAGTAACATAAAGAGTTAAATTTCCAGGATATTCTTTCCCATTATTTGGATCACGGCTAAAGCCACCACCACCAGCCATTTTTTCAACTGCTCTTTTGATAATCTATTAAAAAAAAAAACAAGAGGAGAAAAACTTGAGAAATGAAGAGAAAGAATAGGAATATAGAGGATATGAAAAGGCAAATGGAGGAGTATATATAGAAAATGAAAGAGACTATTATGTCCAAGATTGAGATATTCAGACTATATACTTAGCTGTCAATTTTATTTTTGAATTTTTTATTAGCTGTCAAAAATCTTATCTCACATTATAAAGCTTTTAAGTTAATTAAAATGGTGAACCAATTACCAAAAGACTAATGATGACATATATCTTTTAACTAAAGGTCTCGGGTTCGAAGAATGAAGTCGCTTTTATAAGAGAACGATTTATCCCCAATATGGGATTTTTCGGTTGAATATAGATTTAGGGCCCGTTTGGACATAAAAAAAAAAGATTCATTTTTTCGAAATTTACCTCACTTTTTTTTCCAAAATCAATGTTTTGCCATGAAATTTTCGATTTGCACTTGAAGACGAATTTCGGAATTTAAAAATTTGAAAAACTCCAAAAAGTTATTTTTCAAAATTTTCACTTTAGATCGCTCAAAAATATTCAAAAATAACCCAAAATTATATTTATGTCCAAACACAACTCTAATTTTCAAATACCATTTTTACTTGAATTTTTTTTTCACTTTTTCCGAAATTTTACAATTCTTTATGTCCAAACACCCACTTAGTCATGCTCCAATAGGAACACTAGACACGAGAAACAAAAAAAAAAATTGAGAAACTTTTGAAAATATATTGAATTACTATATTAACTTTAATCGTTTTAGAAAACGTATCAAGAAGTATGAAATTATTATAAGAGAAATATTTATGAAAGAGGATAAACTTTATTCACTTAACAAAAATAATTTTGCTGATACTAATACATTTTCAATATTATTCTAAATAAAGATCTAAAGTTTAAATTTTGTAACCTTCTTCTCATTATTACCAAAAGAGTAATGATGAACTTTGCAAAACATATTGACTTACTATATTAATTGTATCAATTTTCAGAAAACGTATCAGGAAGCATGAAATTATATAGGAGAAATATTTATGAAAGAGGATTGACTTTATTCACTTAACAAAATAGTTTTTCTGATATAAATATATTTCTCTATTATTCTAATTAAGGATCTAAAGTTTAAATTCTCTAACTTCTTCTCATTACTATCATTAATAGTACACAAAACAATTGCAAGATTACTACTCATATTTGAAGTGTCAAATAGTTTTTTACTCGATTTTGGTAAAGTCTGAAACATTATTTTATTGGAGTTCCAAAACATATAATAAGATGTTTTAAAACAATTTTTAGTAGTTATTAGTTTAATACTTAAATTGATTTTTTTTTTTAAAAAAGCAAGAAAATATTTTTTTTATCAGCATAATGAAACATGTCATATAGATTATTGATCTTATTTTTTCAATAATTAGTCTAAACTTTATTAAAAAGATATTTTCATTAAGTAGTCTTTGTTTAATTTAATTATGTAAAAAATATTTACATTATCCGTATGTAAAAATTAGTGTACTAATTAATTCAAGTTGATGAGGTGGAATTCCAAGCGTGGCCTGTATACGTCAGCGATTAGTCATCAAATTTATCTTTATCCTTTTGATTAATTATTTTGGGAAGTGAACTGGCACCTATGTGCCAAAAAGTTTTCCACCTAACTTTGTGGTATTTAAAAGAAATTGTATAGTGGAAAACCTTTTTTGCTTCTTTCCGAATGGTATACGTTTGGTCAACCTCGTTAAAATTATATTTCTCCAGTTTATAATAAGTGACTTTTTAATATTTAGTATACTCCTAGAGAAAAAAGATATTGTCATTAATTAAAATTTGTATATTGTTAACTTGATGTTTTGGAATATATAAATAAGAGCAAATTTAAAAAATTAAAGTTAATTCATTCATTCTTGATTATTTAAAAAGGATACTTAATTTGAATTAAAAAAAAAGGCTAAAAAGTCACTGATTATGGACCGAAAGGAGTATGTTATTTCTTTTTCTGAATTTACTTTATGTGTGCGCACTAGTTAACTACAGATATTCTGCAACATAACTCAAATTTAAAAAACACACAAATTTATCTATGTTTGCAATTGCGATAAACTTAATTTCTTTTTTTTCTAAGTGAGTTTGATTTGATTAATCTACACTAGCATTATATATAGAAGATCATGTCCTAAAAGCTCCTATATTTAATAAAGAAAAAAGAAAAAAGGAGTTTCAGAAAGGGAATTACCAGTTTTCTATTTTCGGTTCCAAATATTAGTCTTTTTGAAAAAGTAAATTTATTTTTTAAGAAGAAACAGTGTCTAATTTTAACAAATATTCTTAATAATTAAGTCTATTAAATACTTTTTTAAGAGTATGCAAAATTTAAAAGAGGGGAATTGATCGATATATTGAATTGATAACGCCTATTAAAGTTTCAAGTCCTTCATGTAACACACGAATATACAGTTCAACATCTAATATTTGAAAGTAAAAGAAAAAGGAAAACTATCATGAAATGTGGTGGAATGACTGAAATCCAAAAATAAATATTGGCTTCGAACTGTGAAAATGAAAATTTCACGTTAAAACAACACTTTGCCTGGCGCAAATTTGGACAGTGCATATTTTATTATGATCATATTAACTTTTCAAATCACTTTCTATTGACCCCTACACATATAAATACCATTATTAAGCTCAAGTAACAAATATTCACACTAAAGTTAACAAGATCTAGGAATAATACAAGAGAAATTTCATGCAAAAATATAAATTTTTAGTCAAACATCATATTTACGTGATACTAATTAGAATTAGTTAAGAAAGGAAAAAAAGAGAAAAATTGTCGGCATCAGCATGTAAACATAAGTAAAGTTGGGGAACCTTGGAATAACAGTATAACATCACGAGAAGAATTGAAAGCTATTAAGGAGGACCTCCACTATGACCAATTGATTAAATTTTCCTCCTTTTGTGGAACATCAATAGTGACAAGATTGTGACAGCACAAACGCTATAAGCCTTAAAACATTCCACTTCCTTGAAGCTTCAACTCGAATCATCACAATTTGAGACTTTTATTGTTGAAGAATTAATTCAAATACCCGCTCATTCAATCGCTTTAATTAAATAGCCGACAGAGTTATAATATATACATAATTTATGTATTATACGTGTATAATTATGTATAATCAAGGTATAAATTATGTATACGGCTTGAAAAAGTAAACAATAATGTGATGACCCAAAAGGTCATCACTTGATTTACAAGTCAATTCTGTGTTCCAAGGCCTTAAAAACCTCCTTTTATCTCACCTCGATTTGCGTGCGCGGTCCGGGCATATATCCGGAATGCTTTTATGTGAAAATTTGAGGAATATGCTAATTTTGCCTTTAAAATTGAATTTAAGTTGACTTCGGTCAATTTTTTTGGTAAACGGACCCGGACCCGTGATTTTAGAAAAATATGGGACTTGGGCGTATGCCCGGAATTGAATTACGAGGTTCTAAGCCCGAGAAATGAATTTTTGAGGAAAATTGTTTAACTGAAATTATAAGAGTTTTTGGAAATTTGAATTTGTTTGAATCTGATGGTATCGTGCCCGTATTTTGGTTCCGGAGCCCGGTACAGGTCTTATATGGTATTTAAGTTGTGCCTATAAAATTTTGTAAGAAACGGAATTCATATGACATGAATCGGACCCTCGGTTGTGAAATTTGAAAGTATTGAGATTTTTCTTTGATTTTGATGCTAAACACGGAGTTCAAGATATTATTTTGGCGATTTGATCGCACGAGCAAGTCCGTATGATGTTTTTAGGTTAGTATGCATGTTTGGTTTGGATCCCCGATGGCTCGGGTGAGTTTCGGATAGGCCACGAGATGTTTTTCACTTAGAAAAGTTGCAGGTTTTTGCTGTATCTGGTGTCTGATGCACCATGCTTCGCGATCGCGTAGTGACTCTCGCGATCGTGAAAGGGAAACTAGGCTGGGGAGGATTTTACCCTATGCGAACGCGAGACCAAGGTCGCGAACGCGGAGCATTGGGGGGACTGCTCTACGGGAACGCGACCGGTCAACCGCGGACGCGTGGCTTTAGGATGGGCTGGTCAGGGAACCTAGGGAGAACTACGCGACCGCGACCCCTTTATCGCAAACGCGAAGGCAGGGCTAGGCTAAGCCTTCGCGAATGCGAAGCTTCTCCCGCGATCGCATAAGTCCTCAACTGGCAGCTCTTCGCGAACGCGGAAGGCCCATCGCGAACGCGATGAAGTCCTGCCTAGTCTTTTTAAAACAGTAGCAAAACAGGAATTGTCACGACCCGGATTTCTCATCCTCGGGAGTCGTGATGGCGCCTACTAATGAGAGCTAGGCAAGCCAACCCTTAATTACCTTTGTCATTAACCAATTTTCCTCTTTTAATAATTATCAGTAATATCATGAAAACAGCGGAATAAAATATATAAGCGGAAGTCTTAAATTAAAGAATCTGAACAACAATGCAGAAAATCAACATAAACCTCTACCCAAGAGCTGGTGTCACATACTCACGAACTACTAAGATTGCTAAATACAACCGTTTGAAAGAAAATATAACTGTTTGTCTCGAAATACATGAGATAACAGACTGAAATAAAAGATAGAAGAGACGTCGGGCCTGCGAACGCCTGCAAGGCTACCTCGGTGTCTCGCTGGACTGAAGGCTAACTCCCGCGCTACTGCAGCTGCTGTCCAACACCTGGGTCTGTGCAAAAGAGCACAGAGTGTAGCATCAGCACAACCGACCCCATGTGCTGGTATGTGCCTAGCCTAACCCCGGCGAAGTAGTGACGAGGCTAGACCGGACTACCACATAAACCTGTGCAGTTATATATACATATACAGCGGAATCGAAATACAGATACAAGTAATCAATATGGGAAGAGGGAAAACATGCTAGGGGGAAATAACAAATTTCAAGTAAAAGTCGTCCAGCAATGAAGGAATTAACACAACTCAGACATTAATAAAGAGACAGAAAGCAGCAAGTGCACGGCATCACCCTTCGTGCTTTTACTCTCATCCTCACCAAGCAATGATATAATATAATGTGCACGGCATCACCCTTCGTGCTTTT